AGTTTAGCTCAAGGACTCTGGGGCATAATTTTCATACTCAATGAGATTCATAAAAATTCCAGATCACAGATCTGGATAGATATTTCTCTATCTCTATTTCTCATACACATAGGCACACACACATGTGCGTGTGGTGTGATCTCCTTCCCTCCCCTCCCCTGCAACAGTGACCTTAACCCACAAAAGGAGAGACCTGGCTGCCTCTAGGAGTGACAACATGAACTGTCAGAGAAGCTGACTTTGAACTAGAAAACGGGCCATGCTCATACAAGGGTTAAACCTCATCATTAAATCTGGAAAACTAATGGCTTTAGAGATAGTGCAACCCATCTTACATCCTCAAACTGAGCCAAAATTACAGTGGAAAATGGAAAACATTGTGCATGAAAATGTTCTTTACTCAGACTGAGTTATAAGCATCATTAAAAGCCAAATACCATATGATCTCACTTATATGTGGAATTTAATGAACAAAATAAAATGACAAACAACCAGAGCGGACGGGGGTGGGGGAGACTAGCCAAAGAACATACATAGCCCATGGACACAAACAGAATGCTGAAGGCCAGGAGAAGGGAGGCGGGAGCTGGGTGGAGGTGGGCAAAGGGGGGGATGGGGGACATCTGTAATAGTGTCAACAATAATAACTAAGACTCATGAGCCTGACAATTCATGAACTTCCAGCTGGCAAGCACTCTTGGCAACCTCCCATGCCCAGTGCTTCCTCCACTGCAAAGTAGCCAGGTGGTCTTCACTAGCAGTTGGGCAAGATGCACCAGAAACTAGCTCTGTGACATTCATCCTATAACTTAGTTGGATTAGAACTATCTTGGGCGAATGATCATGATTTCTAAGGCCCTTTTCTAGTATGGCAATCCTACTTAAGTGTGCTCACTTTTCTAAACTGTGAATTTTTTCCTTATTAAAATAATTGACCTTTGTTCTTACATATAGTTTGTCAAATTTTGCTCCATTCAAGGGTTGGGTCAGATACAGCCAATGGGCAATTGGCATAAGATCTGTATACTTAGTATTTATAACTAAAATACCCAGAAGGCCACCCAGCTATTCCCTAATGGACCACTGGCACATTTAGTTGTCTTTAGGGCCCAATTACATTTTTGTCTCTAGAAAGCAACTGTATTAAAAATGGAAAGAATCCCACCTCTGCATATAAAACTAAATTTTAGCCCTAAACTAAATTTTAGCCCTGGCCAGGTGGCTCAGTTGGTTGGAGCGTTGTCCCATACACCAAAGGTCGTGTGTTCAATCCCCGGTCGGGGCACGTATGGGAGGCAATGGGTTGATGTTTCTCTCCCCCTTCCTCTCTCTCTCAAAATCAATAAAAACATATCCCTGGGTGAAGATTTAAAAAAATTTAATCTTGCTGTTCTAACGTAAGCCGCAACAATACTAAAATTTGTAAGTTTGTCTCCACCAGGTTACAAGCCCTACCTGCACTCGAGGAATACCACCTATAGGCACCAGCAGCACCTTCTGTGCCCAGGCCTCATCATGCCTCTGACAGAGAGCAAGGACCTCTTGGCTCTGAAGGAAAACGTTGGCCCTTTTCAGCAGGAAGTAGACCCTGCACTCCTTTTCCCTGAAAGAATTCAGAGCCAAGATCCTTGGGGAGGGGGGGCGGGACGACTGGATCCGCAGTTAGAGCAGAGCATGGACAATGGGCTCGGCAGAGGTTATCAGGACGGATAATTGTAGGGTGGGGCTTTACCCCCAGGGTGGCCTTTCCTCCCCTAGCATATCACTAGTCACGCTGTTTGGACCCCCTGACCTTTCCTCCCTAGAGATAACATCTAGGCCTCAGTGGTATTTTAGCTCCAGGCCCAGAAGAGCAACAAAACCAGCCACAGCTGACCTCAGGAGCAGCTGCACTGGATAATGACCCACACACCAACCAACCAACCAATCAGCGGCGACCCCAACCCTGGAAAGAAAGCTGCAGAATATAGTCTATTGATATCTCCCCTGGGACCTCCCCTAAGACCTCCACCCCTAAAACCATTAGGACGGAGAACTCCAGAGAACTCGGAGATTGCTCTCCCTCCCTCCAGGGAGCACACCCGTGCCACTCTCATCCCCCACAGGCACGTATCTTCTAAACTCCAAGGGATCTCATGAGACTTGCAACCAGGGGAGCAATGGGCAGCAGCAGCTCGTCCTGGGCTAACCCCCTGAACCTGTTTCCAGGCCCCCTTTTCTCTCTGACTTCCCAGTGAGCCAGAGCAGCCCAGCCAGGCTCTCCTGCTGCTTCTTCTATGCCCTTCCTTGTTTCACTGCCCTAAGTATATTTTTGCTGCGGTCAATAAATTCTTGCTTTTCTAAAAAAAAAAAAAAAAAAAAAAAAAAA